GGTCTCCTCCTGAACTAACATACTGTGCAATTCATGCACATTCCATTTGTCTTTCATGGTGTTATAATTCATCCGAAACGGACCATACTCGGTGCGTAACGAGTTCAAAATGAATTGCACAAGAAAATTTTCTTCCACTGCCATTCCAAGAGACTTGAGTCTTGTCTGCGATATTTGTCATTTCGATTATGTGTTCATGCATACTATGAGAACCATCAAACTTCATGGTGGTCAACGTACTCATCAATGTCCCAACGAGAGATTTGTCAGCAGTTTGAGAGCGCTCTTCCACAAATTTCATAAATTCTTTCACGTCCTTAGTTTTGGAAAAAACATACTTAATATTGCTTGCAATACTCATTCGCATAAACATAAGACTAAGTCTCTGTTTGACCTTTTCCAAACTCTATAATGAGTTTTCTCTTTGTTGCTACTAGCATTAGTGATAGCGACTAGGTTTTTCAACTTGGAAAGCCAAATCAAAATCCAACTCACCTAAGTGAAATTGGACTTTCTCACTCCGATCAGGGAATTAAATCTATTAAAGAGCTGGAACAGACGAAGTAAGCGAATGTAGAAATATATAAACAAATATTTCAATTAACACATGCCTAACATTAACGCTTTGAGTCATAAAAACTAAACATAAATACAGATTCAAACATAAATAACCATTCTATGCATACTAATGTTCTCCTTTGGGAGATCCACTAATACACAAACATAATTACGCTAATCTTTTTATAACATTAATGATAATTAAAATATGCATCAACTAGAATCACTTAACACCTTTGGGTATATAAATAAAACTAGTGACGCACACAAAATTATCTACTTTCATGTTCATTAATTATAATAACAACTAATCAACCTTTGGGTGATCCTGAAATGCCTTATAATAATGAACTTCAATTAACCCATAAATCATTATTCATAATTTTAGCATTCATACTATAGGTAATTGAAATAAAATCACTAATAATTTGAAATCAAAATAACTTTAAAATTTTAGCCACTTTGGTGACTAACAAAATTTATCATGCTTAATTTCAAATAAATAACATCTTTAATTGCTATTAACCATTCATAGCATTTTTTTCATTAATTTTAATAAATATGTACATTATTCACATAATAAAATATTATGTGCCATAAATAAAATTGAAACTCATAATTTCAATTTTCATCCTAAGATTGATTTTCAATCCAAGAACTTTATTTGCATTTCACGTAAAAGTGAAATTATCATCCATTCAAAACTTTTATGAGTAATTTAAACACAGCGGAAACAATACAATTCAGTTTGCAAAACAAAATTCATTCATTTATCAATGTTTACATTATAGGTACATTAACAAAGTTTTACAGAACATTAACAAAGTACCCTTAACAAAAAAGTACACTTGACAAAACTTTACATTACCCTTAACAAAGCTTTAAGGTACCCTTAACAAAACTTTAAGGTACCCTTAACAAAACTTTAAGGTACCCTTAACAAAACTTTAAGGTACCCTTAACAAAACTTTACAGTACTCTTAACAAAGCTTTACATTACTCTTAACAAAGCTTTACATTACTTTACAGTACTCTTAACAAAGCTTTACATTACTCCTAACAAAGCTTTACATTACTTTACAGTACTCTTAACAAAGTTTTACATTACTTTACAGTACCCTTAACAAAACTTTACAGTACTCTTAACAAAGCTTTACAGTACTCTTAACAAAGCTTTACATTACTCTTAACAAAGCTTTACATTACTCTTAACAAAGCTTTACATTACTTTACAGTACCCTTAACAAAGCTTTACATTACTTTACAGTACCCTTAACAAAGAAATAACTCTTTAATTATCTTTCACAAAAAAAATATGTACTTACAAAATAATATTATAAATAATATAATATAATATATGAAACCTGTGTTTAACACGTGTTCTCTACGCGCAAAGTTTATCAACTTTACGAGTTTACCATTCTTCCATCATAATTATAACATTTCATCATAACATCTCATCATAATTATAATATACAATAAAACTAATTTCATACATGATTCACCCTAACCCTATCACGTCATTTGTCTTTTCAATTAAAATCAATTATGGGTTCATTCACGCATAGGGGCTATAAAATTGGTTTCAATTTGAACTTGAAAGCATAATTAAGTTTATTCCTTTATTTAATTTTTGAGAAAAATAAATTTGGGAATAAATTAGGGTTCATACTAATCTGATAGAGAAATCCCTAAATTCATAATTAGGGTTTATCTTAATTTGGGAAAAATAGAAAAAACCTTTAGGGTTTATCTTAATTTGGGAAAAACATAATTTAGGAAAAACTTTCATAAAAGGAAAATCATAAATCTAATAATTGGGCTCTGATACCACATGTAAAACATTATGTAGTTTTTCTACGTTCTTAATTCATTATGGAAAACTATTCTACAGGATCTTTAGATTATTGATTTTCACAACATAACATACATGAATCATAATAAGAGAACTAACCTTGATCCATGAAAATCTATTCTTTAATCTTCTCGTTCTCCAATCTCCTTTTCCCAATCTATCTCTTTGTCTTTCTTTCTCTTCTCACGCTTCGCTTTCTTGATGGTTTACCGTGAAAAAACTTTATGACCGAGAGACAAAACCCCTTATTTCATTCAATTAACCAACGTCCATCAAGTTGGTTACCGTAAGTTAATATTTTATTTTATCTTTATTTTATTCTAACTTCACATAATAACCAATAGGTCCTCATATTTTATTAAATCACATTTGAGCCCATCATTATATTTCACATGAGTCACATAATGGAATGAATTAATTAAATTAATTCTAACACAAAATGCCTCTGAAATAGAAAGAGGAGAACCAAAGATGGTAATAAATTATAAACCTCTAAATAAAGTCTTAAAATGGATTAGGTATCCTCTACCTAATAAAACTGAATTAATAAGTAGAATTTATAAGGTCACTATATTTTCTAAATTTGATATGAAGAGTGGATATTATCAAATTAAATTAAAAGAACAAGATAAATATAAAACTGCTTTTATTGTACCGTTTGGGCAATACGAATAGAATGTAATGCCTATGGGTTTAAAAAATGCCCCTTCCGAATTTCAAAAAATAATGAACGATATATTAAACCCTTACTCAAAATTTGCCATTGTCTATATTGATGATGTATTAATATTCTCTTAATCAATAGAACAACATAAAAAGCATTTGAAAATATTTAAAAATGTTATAAAAACCAATGGAATGGTAATATCACAACAGAAAATAAAATTAGCCCAAACACAAATTAGATTTTTGGGTCATGAAATAAATCAAGGAACTATAATCCCTATTAAAAGAAGTATTGAATTTTCAGAAAAATTTTCTAATGAAATAAAAGATAAATTGCAATTACAAAGATTTTTAGGATGTTTAAACTATGTAGCAGAATTCATACCTAATATTCGAATATTATGTAAACCCCTCTTTAATAGATTAAGAAAAAATCCTAAACCATGGACTCCAGAAATGACTAATATAGTAATAGAAGTTAAAAAATTAGTTAAGACACTACCCTGTCTAGGAATACCCAATCTAGAAGCAAACATAGTAATAGAAACTGATGCCTCTAATATAGGATACGGGGGATACTAAAACAATAGTTACATAATAATCCCGAACAAATAGTGAAATATCACTCAGGAATATGGAATAAAGCTCAAAGGAATTATAGCACTATCAAAAAGGAAGTTCTAAGCATAGTTTTAAATATACAAAAATTTCAACATGATTTAATAAACAAATTTTTTTTATTAAGAATTTATTGTAAATCGGCAAAAGAAGTTTTAGAAAAAGATGTAAAAATTATAGTTTCAAAACAAATATTTGCAAGATGGAAAAACTTATTATCTTGTTTTGAATTTGACATAGAATTTATAAAAGGAAAAGAGAATTCAATACCAGATTTTCTAACAAGAGAATTTTTGCAGGGCCACACCCATGGCAACCCCCTCTAAAAAACCAAATACCCCTGAAAAGAATAAAACCGAAAATCCTAAGTCATCTACATTGTCTCTAGATGACTTTGCCCCCTCATATTAAAAAACAATAACTACTCGAAAACTTCCTACTTCCATAACCACTCTCCCCAACAGATTTACCCCATTAACACCACAAAAGGTTCAGAATACTTCCCCTAAAAAAACCCCGAAAAAAGAATTCCATATAAAAGAAGGATGCCAGAAGATAATCACTCTAGAAGAAGATTGGAATGCAGAAGATGTCTATGGAATACTTAAAAGGATAGCTTCTCCAGGATGGAGTTGGATCCCTAGATCCGAAAATTTGAAAAAAACCAAAAAATTCTACCAATTCATTCTAATAGACACCAGATCTGCTGAAATAACCCCCATTCCTAATGATAGAGATCTCTCTATCATTAGTTATTCAAAATTAAGAATTATCAAAATCATTTCTTACCCAGAATGGAATCAACATCCGTTTACCGATAAGAGCTTTTCGAGGTCCTTTGACCCTCCCTTTTATAATTATTTTGATTACCAAGAAGCCTGGAACAAAATACTCTTTGACACCAACCCTAGACATTCCTGGTACATTTGTTTTAAAAAAAAAATACCCAATTCATTACCAAACTAGTTTATTGACTGGTTTCACCAAATAGGTCCTGTTTAGGCCATAATTCCCGAAAAGATCATGAAAATTTATCACCAAATGCTTATCACGTATCTCTTTGTGTTATTTGTGTGAGATTATAATCTTCTGAGATACGAGGTAAGTATTCTGTTGATTTAAATTCCGGAGTCTTGCTTTATATCTTTCGTGGGATATGTTGGGGTCACAAAAACTATGGAACACATGCAATAGAGCTATTGGGAAGTGATAGGTCGGGCTGCTTTCAGAAGTGAGTGTTGTTCTAACCAATCTCAACTATAACATAGTGAAGGTGTGAACTCATAATACCCATGCAGTAGCTATGATGCATGTAACTGATGAAGAAACAGGCTCTGCTATCACTGATCCCCAGAGGCTCTCTCTAATCAAGGAGCTTTTATGCAATGTGCTGGGAGGTGGCAACAAAGTCAGGGGATCTAGCAGTGTAATGACTAAAGAAGTTAACCATACTGAGAGAAGGCTTCACCAGATGATGTTTGTTGATAAGGATTATGAGCAAGTTGATGATGAGGATGTTGATGAGAAAAGTAGACCAAAAGTGACTATTGTGAATTGGTCTGATAACGATTACTCCGTCATTACTATCCAGTGTAAGGACAGGGCAAAGCTTCTCTTTGACATAGTTTTCACTTTGACAGAAATGCAATATGTGGTTTTCCATGCAAATATTGATTCCAAAGGGTCAAATTCTTATCAGGTATCTCTTTGTGTTATTTGTGTGAGATTATAATCTTCTGAGATACGAGGTAAGTATTCTGTTGATTTAAATTCCGGAGTCTTGCTTTATATCTTCCGTGAGATATGTTGGGGTCACAAAAACTACGGAGCACATGCAATAGAGCTATTGGGAAGTGATAGGTCGGGCTGCTTTCAGAAGTGAGTGTTGTTCTAACCAATCTCAACTATAACATAGTGAAGGTGTGAACTCATAATACCTGTGCAATAGCTGTGATGCATGTAACTGATGAAGAAACAGACTCTGCTATCACTGATCCCACGAGGCTCTCTCTAATCAAGGAGCTTTTAAACAATGTGCTGGGAGGTGGCAACAAAGTCAGGGGATCTAGCAGTGTAATGACTAAAGAAGTTAACCATACTGAGAGAAGGTTTCACTAGATGATGTTTGCTGATAAGGATTATGAGCAAGTTGATGATGAGGATGTTGATGAGAAAAGTATACCAAAAGTGACTGTTGTGAATTGGTCTCATAACGATTACTCCGTCATTACTATCCAGTGTAAGGACAGGGCAAAGCTTCTCTTTGACATAGTTTTCACTTTGACAGAAATGCAATATGTGGTTTTCCATGCAAATATTGATTCCAAAGGGTCAAATGCTTATCAGGTATCTCTTTGTGTTATTTGTGTGAGATTATAATCTTCTGAGATACGAGGTAAGTATTCTGTTGATTTAAATTCCGGAGTCTTGCTTTATATCTTTCGTGGGATATGTTGGGGTCACAAAAACTATGGAACACATGCAATAGAGCTATTGGGAAGTGATAGGTCGGGCTGCTTTCAGAAGTGAGTGTTGTTCTAACCAATCTCAACTATAACATAGTGAAGGTGTGAACTCATAATACCCATGCAGTAGCTATGATGCATGTAACTGATGAAGAAACAGGCTCTGCTATCACTGATCCCCAGAGGCTCTCTCTAATCAAGGAGCTTTTATGCAATGTGCTGGGAGGTGGCAACAAAGTCAGGGGATCTAACAGTGTAGTGACTAAAGAAGTTAACCATACTGAGAGAAGGTTTCACCAAATGATGTTTGTTGATAGGGATTATGAGTAAGTTGATGATGAGGATGTTGATGAGAAAAGTAAACCAAAAGTGACTGTTGTGAATTGGTCTGATAACGATTACTTCGTCATTACTATCCAATGTAAGGACAGGGCAAAGCTTCTCTTTAACATAGTTTTCACCTTGACAGAAATGCAATATGTGGTTTTCCACGCAAATATTGATTCTAAAGGGTCAAATGCTTATCAGGTATCTTTTTTTGTTATTTGTGTGAGATTATAATCTTCTGAGATTCGAGGTAAGTATTCTGTTGATTTAAATTTTGGAATTTTACATCAAGCACATAAACAGGTCCCTGTGAAATCAGATGCAGAGAGACAAAGAGTGATACAATGTCTTGAAGGTGCTATTAAGAGTAGAGTATCAGAGGTGAAGACTGAATAATTTCTGAAGTTATTTATCTCTTACTTTTATCTTGCTCATAAATTTTCCCACAAAACTAATTCATTAAATTCTTTTATTTGTAAGTATATTATTAAGAATGTTTTTCTGTCAACTGTGATTTATTTTTATCCTCTCAAATTTTGTGGAGGTGATCTCTATCATTTTGTTTATATCTTTCTACCCCCATGACAGTGATTCGCCATTATGATAGTTGCATGGGACCAGTCTTGCATTCACTACTGCTATGAAGTTAGATGGTTCTCTGGTAATAGGCTACTCTATACTAATTGAAATCTATAAATTGATTAATTAGTAACCAGAATTTGATGACTTCATAATACAGTAATTGTTTCTTCCTCCACTGTGTTATTTTATTGAAATTTTTGACATTTGGTGTATGACTTCGCTATTATTTTATATTCTAGTCCAGAAAGTCCACTACCCTTTATTATAGAAATGCGAGTCATGGATTTTTGGCATTTTTATCTTTTCACTTTCCTTTTGGTTAGTTTCCTTCAGTGAACAAGACTAATAATTTGTTTGTTGCTCATTCAGGGTTTGAGGCTAGAATTAAGCGTAAGGGCAGAGTTGGACTGCTATCTGATGTCACACGAATCATCCGAGAGAACAGCCTCATGGTTACAAGGACAGAGGTGACAACCAAAGGGGGCAAAGCTGTTAACACCTTCTATGTTGGAGGGGCTTCAGGTTGCCCAGTTGAGTCCAAGATCATAGAATCGATTCACCAAGCAATTGGCAACACTATACTCAAAGTAAAGAGAAAGCCCGAAAAGTTGAAACCTGCTCCTCAAGACTCTCCAACCAGATTCCTTTCTGGGAGTCTTTTCAAATCCAAATCCCATGCTAACTTCGGCTTGGTTAAGTCTTACTCCTAAGATTGTGAATGAAACATGCTTCCTTTCATTTTGTACAGAAAAAACTGAAGAAGATGCAAACCTTGGTAGACCTTAGAACAAGTTTGACCTTAGTTTAGCAAGTAAAAAACCATTGAATCCTTACATAAGTTGCCTTGTAAATACCCTCTCAACGTCAGTTCTCAGTGATTTAGCGTTATTGCTGTCACTACCAATCTTGAATTAGAACGATGTAAACATAGAGAACTTCAACTGTACAACGCCATTGAATAAGTTTCATAAGTGAACATGTGTATATAAAATATCCAAAGTATGATTTTAATCTTAGTTTAAACATAATTTTAGTTCCTACTCTTACCTCAATTTTCGTTTTAATCATTATACTTTATAAAATTGACTTAGTCCTCATATTTACACATGTTTAATATTCTTTCCAAAATGCAATATCTTAATTGTCTTTTCATTTTAGTCATATTTACACGCTATCTTCTTTTGAACCTTATCCCTACTCCAAGCCTCTAATCTAATAGCCAAGCTAAAGATGTCATTACATGGTAAAATGGTGAATGCAATGCCTTTCTCTGGTACTATGCATCATTTCTTACAGATGAAAAACTACTTTGTGATCAGATATAATCACTTTATAAAGGTCAAAGTGACCTATCTCTTGTATCAGTATACTAATATTTTGATACGGAGGTTCATTTGGATGAGTGCTCCTCTTAGTCAAATTGGGTTAAAAGCTGATCCACAACCATTAAGCCCAAGTATTACGTTTCGGCAACTATGACCTTATATGTTCATAACAGTGTGCGTACCTTGAAGTGATAGAAGTGTGTAAAATCAAACAAAAAGTCGTGAGAAAAATGTTATCCTTTAGTAACCCATAGAATGGATTAACATTCAAGCATATAGTAAAAGTTCCTTCTGCATTGTTTTTCAACTCTTGAACCATAAAAATCAAAGAAAAAAAAAAACTGGCATCGATTCATATATGTCAATGAAACATTCTATCAATTCAGAAGTTATCTTAGATGGTCTAGTGAGAACATGGAAACTAGCAAGGAATAGACCTGACACAAACTCCAATGAGAAGACAAAATTTATAATTCCAACAGTAAGCAATAAATAACATTAGCAGTTAAGAAGCTCCCATTATACGCTATACATGTCCAGAGATAAAATTGGAATCAATGTCAAGAAGAATCTACTTTTAAAGATAAGGTTGGGGATAGTGTCAGAGTCTTAATAAATAGCACTTAATTGTTCAGTTGCTTGTGCAAGCTTGATAAGCAGCAGCTAACCACATAATTGTTCATTTTAGTTCATCTAATCACATAATCCATTGGTGATATCGACATAATCCACATAATCATGCATTTTCAATGAAAAATCTTTTCTTTTCTCATACTACTTCCTTCCCAATTATTCTTTTTCACCCACCCTAAAAAGTCTAAATAAATAATCATTTTCCTAAAGCCTTTAAAAATAATTTGACTTTTTGACCATTAACATGTTGGTTCTCTTAAAAAAATGTTCATATTTAACTGCATAAGATTTGCATGCGTATGTGGAAAGTGGACATAATTAACTGTTTTGGTCTTTTCCAAGCTGCATGTGTCATTTTCCAGAGTCTACTCCATAGCTCTGACCTTGTCTGAGAGTGACCTAAGAAAAAGGTTGGTTCAGTTACTAGGAGGATGGACCAAGCTCCTACTCCTAATAAATCATCAAAACATATCAAGGTTTTGACTACAATGGAGATTGACATTTGATAAGCTATAAAAAGTTTTTACTGTTCAATTCTGACCTATTTTATGAAGCTAGGGTACATATAGTTTGTCATTTGCAAAACACATGATTATTCTTTAAACTCGTCTAATTAAATGTGATTAAGTAATTGTTTTCCATTTTATTATAATAATTTTCTCATCTTTAAACATTATTGTTTTTCTATTTTTACATAAGTTGAGTTGAAATAGGGTGGATTAATTAAGGTGAAAAAGGAAGAAGGAGAGAAATAAAAAATAAAAATTTAACGAAAATGATAATTGAAAAATGACTATACATATACATATAGGAGTGTTTTCATTTATATAATGTAAAACTAACATTAAATTTTGAGAAAAAAGAAAATTAATCATCAATTTACCATTATTATCTCATAATTTAAGTGGCAAATGAGTTTTTATAAATCTGTTTTTTCATAGTTAGAACACCTGAGTAAATTAAAAATCCATACAAATTTCCTTCCAAATTGGTCATTTGATTGAATTAATTTAGTTGAACTTACAATAACATTTTGATACTCAAACCAAACCAAATATTTTAAAAACGAATATTTCCTCTCTCTTTTTTATTATTATGAAAAAAGCAAATTGAACATGCAAAATCAATATGGATAAGAATGTTAGAGTCCCTTCAACCAACTTTAACTATATGTAGCTAAGTTTGACATAAGAAAGCATGGTCTTTTGGAACCAAGTTATAGACTTACAACACACAATATATATATTAACGTCTTCAGATTAGGAAAAATCACAAAACATAGAGGCATATATATAAGCCTTCAAACATAGTTATATAATACCATCCATCTCCAAGAATGTTTTCAAAAGCATCCTAGGTGGCACGAATACAACGGTTCCAGAGTCAGGTCCAGTTCATTCCTCCCCACCTCTGGCGCCTCCTCACGATAATTGCCACTGCAAAACCAAGAACATTAACTATTATCAGTTAGTACAAGTAAAGAAGATTTAATAACCCCAGTTAAAACATGAACTATAATTAACAAAGATGTAACATGATCTGATATCTTGTTATGGAAAGTTCACCCCATGTTCAAAAGTGGCTGTGGAAGCAAGAAAGATGCATTAACTCCATGGTTTTGATGCTCCCACTGTGCCTGCTGTGCTGCAACCTTTTCTTTCTCCTTGATCTGATCTCAGTTCACTCAAATGCATTAAAACATGCCAGAGTTATCAAGAATATGCATCAACCTTCCATGAAATATAGGGTACACAATATACTATTTCTTTAGTTTAGCATGACAATCAAACTATCATCCTCTTGGGCATAATTAACAAAGCTGGAGGTGATTGATCTAATAATTATCATTTCATTTCACAAGCAGATGAAAACTTTGTAACATCATCCATCACCTATGGTCCCAGAATGTATATTTGGCAAAATATGAAGGGAAAAATGTAACTTTACTATATATACTCACAAATATCATTTGTTGGTTTAGGTTCATCAGAATTAAAAGTTCTCGAATTGGTCAAACGGTTATGTTTGCATACAGTAATCATAGAGACCTGCGAACTTAGTCGATGTTGATAAAAGTTCTAAAATCAACCAAAAAGTTTTAAATTCTTAAAATATATATGTTTATAAATCATTGTACAAGTATATTGCAAAACTGTTTTAGTATAATTTTAATTTGCAGATTAGGAAAATAATTCATATACATTCTAGATGACAATTAGAGGGAAAAATAAACACACACACACACACATATATTAGATTTAAAAAAAAAGGAATTTTGTTTAAATGGTATACAAGAGAAGTAATATTTTTAAAATGTGTTGGTTTATGTAATATTATTCTTAACATAAAGTTATTTTGTTAGTTTATTTACAAATGTTATATACTTTAAAAAAACAAAATAAATCCGAAAAATAAAAATAAAAGAGAGATTTTTTCTTTCCATTCCATTTTATTCTAATTTGAGAGGAATAAAAATACATTTTTCTCTTGTAAAATAACAATGAAAACTTAATATATATTTTTTATCTCATGTATCTTTTTTTTTTCTATTTTCCTTCACTCTATGTCTAATAAGAGAAACAATAGATAAATATTTTGACCTGATAGGCCAACTCATAACCTCTTTACTCATTATCCATTGATTTGTTTCTGACATTAAACTCTTAAGACTTATTGTTGAGATTAAGCAGCATTAAACAGTGGTAGTATTAAAAGATGGATGCAAAGAGAATAATTGTGAGCAGTAATGTTGATCACCTTCTTTGCAAGCATGTTATTCTGCTCCTGTATGACTTTCTCCTGTCAAAGTACAAGTAGAGAACATGTCAGGTTGTCTAAAAGGACACGCATAATGAAGATGGACTCTGAAACTTATATGTAACCGTTACAAGCTTTCAGGACATAGACACCTACGTTAAGATGTGACAAGATTAGAGTAAGTACCTTCTTCTGAAGCTCCGAAATTGACTCGTACATGAGTTGGTTCTGTTATTAAATGTATGATAACAGTACATAATTACATATGCATAATCAGTATTCAGTACCAATGAACCATGTGAATCAAAGAATAAAAGTGAAGTAAAGTATGAACAGTTAGTTGTATGTTTTATATACTCTGCGGGTACGAATTTGTTTGAGAGCAGTATCTAACTGCTGCTCCAGACTCTGAAGCTCTTTCAGGCTCATTGAACCTAAATCTTCTCCCATATAGTGCCTGTGTATGTAATGGATTTTTCCACGAAATAATATTTCAGTGAGACTAGTGAGTGTTCAAATCCAACAAAGTTTCGTTTTTATTCTTTTTCTAAGACAAATAAATTAAAATGCAACAAAGTTCATGCATCATGTGTGATATACCTATGGTTTCTCTGCAAAAGGTCAATCTTTGCCTTGAGTCTGGTATACTCAATGGTCCAGTTTCCCTGCACAAACACACACCTAACTGCTCACATTCTTAACTTGGATTGAGACAGGAATCTCTACATATCAATTTGATTATGTCACTTTTATGTTTCAGAACAACACAAGTATATGGGGAAGAAACTTTAATAAGGTATTTGTAAATTAATTGAAATCATTATTCAATCTTATAACTTTACTTGGAGTTTATTCTTTAAAGCTTTTAAGAAATAAAATTAGTAATTAAAGTATTGTGTTAAAATGTTGTTTAATATTTTTATTTCAATTCATAACAAAACTAATTTATATAATTATTATGATACTATTATTTATCAGAAAATTATTAGCTTTATTTTGAAAAAAAAATTGTTTTGCGGAAATATTATTGAAATTGTTATAGTGCTAAATAATAAGCACTGTATACATTTGAAAAATATTCAAGCCTTTTTATATTATTTGAATTTAGGTCAATTGATGCATCGGTTTGCATTTTTTTTTTATTATTGATATCTTTAACTTCAACTTTACAACATGAAATAAAAATTATCTCCATAAATTTTAAATTGTTTATAAATTTAATTTGGAGTAGAAATTGCTTGATCTACAATGTATAAAAATATCAATTTTAAATGGCTTTGTGAATAAGATTTATAATTTCAGTACTATAAAATTATTTTCTTCTACAAATAATGTATTCACGAAATTTAGATTTTAAATCAATCTCTTCAATTATGTATTGACAGAAACCAAACCATTTATAGATCTATCTTTCCTATATTTGTCACAGAATGAAAGATTAAGACCTGATTTCTTATCACTTCTTAATAATATTTCCAGCATCTTATTTTAATAAAGATCTTTCAATACTTTTGTTAACTTTTATGATCCCTGTCAAGTAAATTTTCCTAAAGAATTTCCCAAACATCTCCAAGGCCTTTCAACTGTTGCTTGACATTCTTGCATGTATATATATATATATATATATATATATATATATATATATATATATATATATATATAATTGTGGACAAATGACAAACCTGTGATTCGGAATCATTGGCAACAAGTTGTCTCTCTGCATAGGCATACCTTTCATAGCGTTCCAGTATCTTCTCCATGCTGTTTAATAATTATTAAAAACAGAAAAAAAAAAAAAAACTATATTTAGCTCTCAGAACTATCACCTAATTATAACAAAACCCTACAAAGATTATAACAAAGTCCTTCAGTAAGAGAATGTAAAAAAAATGAAAAGTCTTGGAAGATAAGCGATTAGAACAAGGTACACAAACTAAATAATATTAACAAAGCATGGTTTTCACTCTAGCCTGATATTTATGAGTTGGCTGATATAGTAGAAAAAATGAACCAGAAAACAGTACTCAAACTCTCATGAAAGTGGGAAAAATTGAATAGAAAAATGAAGTCTGAAAACAATCCTAGCAGCCCTAAACAGAAAACATGATTTTATAATTGCATACAACTTGTCATTATTTATATGCGTAAACATTATCCCTACATAGTTACAGTTTCCCTCCTCCTAAACCCTAAATTCGAAAATCAGAAAGCCATTCAAGAACTTGATAAAAAAAACAAAGACAGAAAAAGTTGAGTTATGCATTTGAAGTTGGAAATATTAAGTTAATTAAATAAAACAAGCAGAATAAACATTATACATTTTTTGGAATATATCAAATATATAATTATTACCCAGCTTTTACTCTACATGTTGAATAAATCGTGTTATTTAACATTGTTCAGTTCCAAAAATATTAGAATGAATACAGTGTTATTTAAGAAAAAATCAATGTAATGAAAGAAATGGCTAATGTGAAATGTTAGGTTTCAATGGTGGCAGGTATGGTATAATAAATACAAAGATCTGGTATCACCAAATCAAAGAGAAAGAAATTAGAAGTTGAATTCCGTAATTTATTTACACGGTTGATCTAGGAAACTGCACCCATCAGATGAAAAGGGACAAGAATATTAGTCCCCGATTAAACAGAAAAAGCATGCAACATTCTTGCTTCCATGTTATGATATGTGAAAGGACTTGAGCTTCAAAATGAACATGACACCTAGCTATGTGTAAATACGTGTTAATCAACCAGCTTTAAGCAGAGCATACTCTATAACAAAAGAAGGAAAGAGCCATCATTTTCTTAAATGGAAAATGAAAAGTACGAAATTTTGAAAGCTGGAACAGCAACTGCTTCTTCTAGGTCCTGCACCGAAAGGACCTGAGGTCGAAAATGAGCTTGACAAGTAACCAAATACTGTCACCCCTGACCAAGTTTCCAGAAGAGTAAAACACCTCACATCAACATATCTCAAACAAAAAATTTATGTACAAAAAAGTTGAATCAGCCGGTACCACATAATTTTCTAACGTAGTATGCGAAGAATCTTTGAATCAACATCAAGAAGACCACTAAAGTACCAAAATCATCTATTTATCTTGTTCATAAAACATTTTCCAGGTTTCTGGTGAGTGAAAAATATGCACATCCATATATATTATACATAGAACGGACTTTATTTTAGAAATAGTAAATCATTTACTCGCATTGTTCCCCAAACATGGATAAAAATACACATTCTTAGGGAAGTATGAACGTTAATAGTTCATACAAATGGGGCACGTTCTTTCTTTCTTCTGTATTTTTCTGTAAAATTCCTTAAAAATATCAGATACCCTTGTTTGTGCAAAAGCACAAGACATGGAGAGAAATCTGTTTGATCTGGCCGAAAATAAGATTTGAGAAAGAAAACAAAGTTTCTCCTCTAGCTCTTGAGTCCAAAACCGAAACCCTTAAGTGGAAAGGCAAAAAAGCAAGGTAAGAATTATTTTTCAACAAAAGAAACAAAGGCTGAACAATTCTTGACTCAATGTTAAGAAAAAGAAATGATATACTTATAGATCTCCCTCTCTCCTCAGGAACACACTAAGTGGAGTGTGTAAGAGAGAGATCTGTGGAAATGATACGATATATGCAGTAAAACATTGACCTAGAATGAGTGTTATATAGAGATCTATGAATTATATATATGATATATGCATATTATATAGTGTAGCATAGTTTACCAAGAATCAGTGGCATATTCAAAGAGCTTTCCTTTGTGGGAGAAGACAATCAAAGCGACCTCAGCGTCACAGAGCACAGAGATCTCGTGTGCTTTCTTGAGTAACCCAGCTCTCCTTTTGGAGAAAGTTACCTGGCGATTGATCTTGTTCTCTATCCTCTTCAGCTGAACCCTACCCCTTCCCATGTTAGTGTCTTGTTTTTTGCTTTAATTATATTATACCTAATTACTTCTTTCCCTTTTTTTCCAAGAAAACCCCAAACAAGGAAAAGGGAACAAACCCCAGAAATATGCTTAAAAAGCTTGCTATTATAGCGAAGGGAGGGAGAGAATGTTAATTTACGGATCTTTCTTCTTCTGGACAAGAATGGAGGAGAAACCGCAGTGTGTAGTAGTGCGAGTTTTCTATGCTATTATCTCTATCTATCTATATATCATCTATATATCTACACATCACTCAATTATTATTATCGTTACAACAAGAATAATAATAAAAATCAACACATAAGCGGTTTTGGTTTCTGGTATGGGAAAAACCAGCAAGTTTTGCTAACGTTGTGCTGTCGAGCTGTGATTGGTTGGTGAGTTACCATGTTGGTGTCTGTGGTAACTAACAGCCACACAATGATATCTCTTTTGCTTTTTGGGTTTTGTTTTTGCATTGGAGATCATGGATTCTCTATCTCAGTGGATTCAACTTTCAAGTGTCTGATGGTTTAAACAGTGTCCATGTCGTACGGACAAAACATTACGTGCATCCTTTCATTGACGGCGCCACGACCCACGAGTATTGAACTCTGGTCCATCCCTTCGTCCACCATATATATATTCAAATCGTGTTTTTAGGTTTAGCTTTTCTTCCATTGCTACTTTTTGCACATTCAAGCCATTCCTCTCCATTTTAATTAATTACTTCCTTCCTATTAACGTCTCAATCTACCTCAAACTTTGCAGAAATATATGTTTATATATGCTACCTTCAACATTTTCTTCTGCCGACATGCGCATTGTTTTAGGTTTAATTTGACCACAGAATTGATAGGTGAAGTTACCTAATTTGAAACTTTGGAATTGGAACTGTTCCTATATAATTGCATCCATCCAGCTGTGGTTAAAAAGTGAAGCATGTGACAGTACTCTCGCTTCATGCTTATATTCTATGTTTCATAATTGATGAACCACTTTTACACGTTAAATAAATCATAAAATCGATAGAAAAAAAATTGTTATAAATCATTTCCATAATATCACTAGTAACTTGTACTCTTCTTCAGAGCATATGATTCGAAATCACTTCCACATCTTCACTATCTTTAAGATTTGTAGGGCATACTTACTTTAAAGAAAATAACCATCACGTGAGACTTTGAAAACTTGTAGAAGATATTTTTATATTGATAAGACTAATAACAGTGGACTTCAATATTTCATATGTAAAATTTTTCCTAAACGAGAACTTTTGATTTTTGTTATTTATGACGTTTTTCAATTGATGTGTTATATGACAAGGTATCGTTTCCTTTCGATTAAGGTTTGTATCTATTTTTTTTTTCTTCTCACTCCTTATTTGATAAGGAAACCAAAATAGGGATATAAACCCTAACTTAAGGAAACAACCCTTTTTTTTTAATAAAATAATTCATTGTTTAAAGAAGGTAAGTAAATGAAAATATAGACAAACAATTTTTTGTGGAAAATGGATAATAATTAGTGATTAAAAAAATAGTAAAAATTAATTAGGGATCAAAGAAAAAAATAAATGTATTAATCCTATTCAACTATCCACATGTCACATAAGGAATAAGTTAAGACTTAAAAGAAATAAATAAGGACCAAAAATAAAAATAAAAAAATTGTAAAAAAAATTGAGCAATTCTTGTTTTGGTTTTCGCTTGCGTGTCTTGCAGACACTATTTTATTTACTTTTTGGTACACAACCATCTTTTCTCCCCTTTCCTCTGCCAATAATTTACTATTTTCCAATTTTGCACATTTGTACTCTTTTTTTTTTTTTTTTAATTGAAACGCTGGTTTCGTATATTTACCCTGCACCACTGTGACCAAAAGATAATGCACGTGGTTAATTAAATAGTGATGATAAAAATAATTATAGGTTGCTGAATTAATTATTTTTATAAGTAATTTTATTATACTATACAAAAGTTAGAAACAAATTTGATTTTTGAGCTAGAATAATTTTAACAATAACATTGTTTTATTAATAATTGGTGAAATTTATTATGGATATTAGGGCTATATTTCACACGTCATTTAGTTAAAAAAAATTAATGTTTTCCTATTATTAGTGTTTAGTAAACAAGCTTTGCTTAGGAATCTGTAGCGTTAGAGGGATATAATTTTATTAAAAATATTTAAGGCTGTAAGAAAATCGGCTAAAAGATTAAAAAAAAATTGTTAATATATCAAATGAAAGAATATGACCTGATTTTGTGACAGATTTTCCAACAACAAAAAATCTATCAAGCTTTGTCAAAATCGTGAATTCTCTAACACAACACTAAAGCTATGAAAAATAATGGAATTCTGATCTTGGAGAATTCTCGAAAAAACTTGTTAATTTATCATAAAAGTGTATTGGATTTATTAGTACTTGTTATCTTCAAAATACATGGACATCATTAATTGATTGTAATCAATAATTTTGTTTGTAGGTGAATCTATAAATTCAACAAAAATTATATAATCTCCGTTAAAATATTAGTCATTTTCTGTGATTTTTTTTTAAATATTTGAATTTATAAAAAATTTATTTTTTTTAATTTTTATAAAAAATTTACAAAATATTTTTATAAAATATGAATAATTAATTATCTATATATGTATGCATTTTAAACCAGATAATCGGGTATTTGGTTTTATGATAATCAATTATATATATATATATATATATATATATATGATAAATATAAGAAATATCTCAACTCAAGATAATAAAATATATTTTAATATATCGATTAATATTCTCTAAATTAAAATTATATATATTAATTTTTAAAATAAGTTAGTGTTCATTAAATATTATTTTCTAGTTGAAAAAGAATCTATTTCTTAGAGACTTTTTGTAATGTTCTAAGAATATAATTTTATCTGAATATAGTTAGATTATGTTTAGCTAAAAGATGAAAAACTAGTTGATACTTGTAGCTAAAATCTGTTTTAATTTATTAAATCATAAACTTTATGTTGAAGGAGTTGAAAAGGATAAAATGTACATATTTATATGATTTTTTTATATAAATTTTATATTTATTTTATGATTCAAAATAAACTTCGGGGTGTTTATATAACTTTTGTTAACAATATATATTTTTGAATTCTTGAAAATTTCCATTTTGTAGAATAATTATTTTAATTACAATTTTGTAGCTTTAATATTATATTTTTCATATTATTTTAAACTCACAATTATGGTGACTGTCTAAAAGGTGTTTGGAGATACACCTTATAATAGATTTGAAATTACGGTTATAGATTTTTCTTTTTTATTATCTGCCATTATATATGTATTTTAGTGAGAGGTTAAAAAATCATGCGTTTAAACTTCATTAGTGTATTAGATTCATGTAAATAAAAACTCATTACCCTAAACAAGAACTCATTGGTTTTTTTCTATTTAGATGAAGTTTGACCCAAAACTAGAAAATATTTTTGGGTTCGTTGGAGTTGAAGAATCACTTCAACCTATAGTATTAACAATATTTAGCGTTATGAATATCTGTATAATTTCTTTGCTTTGTGGTTTGGTTATGAATTACAATTATAAGTGATAGAATCGATAACACCCTCAATGCATTAAATTGGACACCAAACTAGTTGCAGAACCCCCCAAGCCCAAACCACAAACAAGCAATTTCACTTCTTACATTACATGCATCAACTACCTTTTTTTTTAAAAAACTATAAAAAATGTCCCTAAAACTAAATTATAAATATGAAATAATATTTACATTCGTATAATTGCAAGTAATATCTTTAAACCGATTATTTCTCAATTTTTTATAAATTGAAATTATATTTATACTTTTATTAATTCAAGTATACTAATTTCATTATTTTTGTTGATTTACTAATATTTGTAAACTAGGTATTTTTTTATTATATAAAACAAGAGGTAATTACATGAGTACTATATTAAGTTCTAATAACCCTTGAGACAACTATTTAAAAAAAAAAAAAAGTTAAAGTTATCTCTTTCAGGAAAAAAAAAAAGTAATATCAATTTTTTAGAAATGAAATAATTCTTAAGGACCCCGTATTAGTGACATTAAAATTAAACATTAATGCACACGTACTATTTCATAATCACGATCAATATTTAACAGAAGGAAAAGAGTTACTATGTTTTTACCATTCAAACATGATCCCATGTCTAGTGAAACATTATTCTGTAAATCCAGAAAAAAAAAAACATTACAGGACCAACAAGATTCACAGTTTGAAACTCGGCTCATGCATGAAGCTCCATCACAGTAGAAGCTGGCCTCATTCAAATTTTCCATTTTTGTCTCGGTACAAACTCAGATGAAGGTAGTTTTGCACCATGCATGAAAATCAGACATGTCTCCCCTTATGCACCACCTTTCTCACTTTCTTTTGAGGATTGTTCTCCTCACCGTCTTCTTCTTCATCAAAGCACCTTGAGCTGCTTGCATTATGACACTTCTGATCACTAGGAACTACTTTCTCCACCTAAGAACCAATAGAATCATCGGTCATAACAAAAACAAGAACCCATATATAAGAGTGGAACAAAGTGTGTCTCTTTTTAAAGCTACTAAAAGAGTGTACCATGTTTACAGGATCACTAACGCCAACGGCATGATCATTGTTGTTGCCTGGACAAGTACTGGAAAATATCACAGCCGTTAGATACAACACCACACTTTCATCATTTTCCAACATAAAATCTCTAAACAACAAAAGAAATATCAATAAACTTTACTATGAATTTTATTTATGGAGGATCACAAATGGGGTTGGATATGAGGTTTGAATTGTTTATTTCCTCAGTAATGTATCATGGTTTAGTTGACATGAGAGTGAAAACAAAGCATATCATAAAAATTACTATAACTATCCAAAGGTTATAATAGAATGGATGGTCAAAGAATCATTTTCTAAATTTTATATCATGATAAAAAGGTTCTAATAAGGTAACAAATCATTACGTTGAGAATAATCATAATAATACTATGACTATCAATGCTATGATGAAAACAATCAGAAAAACTAGTACATTGTTCATGGCATCGACCCTCTTGATGATGAGCATCCTCTCAATGCAATTATAATTCTGTTTTGTTGTTCATTGTATGGTAAAGATTAAACAAGAGGAGACTTACTTCCCCATTTGCTGATCCTGCATCCTTTCATTCGATACCGGGCTAGACTTATCTAAGTTACCACCACTTTCAGGTCTGGGTTGTGACTCTGCAGAAAGAACCATCAAAGTGCAGTACAAATTTATTTACTTGTCACATCCTTTAGAAAAACAGGAACCGTAAACTGCATTCTCAAGATGATATGTCTACAAAATCAGCTATTAACAAACCTGCATTTGGAGGTGGAATGTTCCCCAACAGCTTCTGGCACATGATGCTATTCTCAAAATCTAAGAAGATATAGTCCATAAATTGAGACTTCTCAAAATCGGCCATCTTTGAAAAACCAAAAGATCCAGTCCATGTCTTCAGCGTACTAGAAATAGATGGCAAAACAACCCTCTCCACACCTAATTGCATAAGCAACTGAAGAAAAAAAAACTACAAGTCAGAAAATGATAACTTATAAAAGGAATACATCCAAACTATTTTGTATGAACCCTGGTACTTCTAACATTGCTTTATATATATACCTCTCAATTAACCCATCAGCTTTATACTTTACTTTATACCAAATGTCTAGTTACCTTTTATTAGATAATGCCTAAAACACATTAGTGGGTTGAAAGTTTTGTTTAGGTTAACAAAAAAGGTTTTATGAGTTGTTTGTTGAGAGTTTTTTAAAGGAGAGGTATAATTTGAGATAAAGCATATAAGGTCTTTTGTTTACATTTTCTAAAGGCAATTGGGAGGTAAAGGCATGTTTAACTATTTGGTCATCTTCAACCATTGCTTCATTTTGAAGGACCAGATTATTATTCTGTAATGTTAGATAAGTGCATTTATTACATGTAAATACAGAAAGATGGAAATATTCCATGTTTGGAAGTTCGGGAATTCATTATTCTTTGTAACCTAATTCTTAGTATCATTAACGCGTTTCATTAATTATAAATAGAAAGCACATATGTGTGCCTATTAAACACAACATTCATGAGCAAACATTTCTATATGGGATCAGTAGTTTAGGTGGTAGAACAATTAAAATGGCCAGATTCATGTATGTCTTCAGTAATTAAGTTATTACTATATAGAACACTCTGAGAAGCTTTGTTTATCTCCTTGAGAAAATGATGCATATGCATTCAGTTACTATACAATTTATTCCTGGCAAATAAATGGCTTCCAGTTAAGGTAAAAAGAGAATAAGAAGCAGCAAAAATGTGGTTTATGATTACCTGTTCAAGCCCACTCATTAAAATGTGACAGAATCCATGTCTACGAAAGTGTAATCTGGTGCCAACAAGAGGTACTTCTGCTACCTTCGCCCCATGGATCCTTAAATATTAGCACGACATATGTCATTAGGGTCATAAATAGATGCATCAAATTAACCCTAATTTGAATTATAATATATCAGATAAAAATAATTATTTATCTATTTTACTCTTAAAATCTATTTAAACTTTATATTTACTTATGGTCCAACATATATATTATCATATATGTGTTCAATTCATTACAAAAATTGTAAGGTTTTTATATAAGAAACAGACATGTAATTCATGAACAGGAGTGGATTCATTTAGGGTTAGGGTTATTTTCAATAATATACTTTATTATCCTTTTATAGTATTTATTGTGAGGATGATATGATTTTTTTCACTTCTTAGTATTTATTTCCTTTTTTTTTAGTAGTAGTTTGGAGAGACAATTATATATTTTATCTACAGATAAAATGTTTGAGTTCTATTAATTTCTCTTTTTATTAGTCTTTTCCTTTTATAACTTACTATTGTCATTTTAAAGACTACAAATTACTACATGAAACCACTTACTTACCAACTATTTAAAGTTTGAAATACTAACAAATATTATTTTTTATTACTATTTATTTTTATTCTATCTACTCTTTATTGTAATTACAATGTTCTTGTGTTTTTAAGTTTGAGTGTACATATGTAGACAAATATATTATGCAAGCATTGAAAATAAACAAATAATAAGTTGTACTTTGTTAGTTTTTTTTTAAATAAAAATCATTATAATGACAAATTCTTTTCAATGTTCCTGGATATTATTATTACAAAAGCTAATCAACAAAAAAAACATAGATTTTTAGAATTAATAGTTTTTTTTGTTGTAAAGCAATTTTACTATAAATTCATAAAAAAATTATATGCAAACATCATGAATTAATTATAAATCTAAATATTTAAAAACTTTTATGAAGATTAGTTTTTAGAAACGAATTTTAAAATTATATTGTTGAAAAGAAAATTGGACATGTATTTTGTAAATCAATTCCTAAATATAGTTTTTGAAATCTATTTTAAAATAGATTTAATGAATTAAAGTATGAAAAAGTTGGTCAGCCTAATCATTAACTATTCATCCTTAGATTTATTGGATTTTAAAAAATAGTGAATAGATCATCAATCTCAATCTAATGCAATATTTTCTCTGTTTTTCTTTTTTGGTAATAAATGAATTTCCTATCCTCACCTAACAAGTGCCACACAAACCACTTCTTCATTTTTCTCGAGTAGAACAGTATAGAAACCCTGGAAATTGAGTCGGTTGAGCTTTGACCTACAAAGTTCCAAAGTAAGATATTAAAGGCCCATAGATAGAATAATAAAGTAAAGTAGCACAATATAGAAGGATAAGTAAATGTGATAGATGTAAACAAAACCATTTGTAAATAGTGTAGATGTGAATAACATAAATACAAGATGTTGAAGGATAGCAATTTCTGACCTTCTGCTGAATATAACATCTTCATAGAAATTTAGGGTTGAGATAGATGGTTCAAAACATTCATGCATCACCGAAAGAGCAAGATTGAGTTTGCTGTAATTTTCTGCCATTAAGCTGCCACCTCTAACTCTACCACGATCATCAGTGTCAGGCTTGATAAACTTCACCAATGTCCAGGTTAGATTGTCCACACCCACTGAAACTGGCCTTCCTAATAGCTGATGAAGGCTATCGTGTATCTGCAAAGAATAGCCACGTTAACCCTAACCCCATCTCATGTCATGTCATAACAACAACATAATGAGTAAAGTCACCTACATGAAACATATCCAATTCTATGAAATCTCATGCAAGTTATGGCTAAATTTTTCGAAAATAATAAGAAAGAATTATGGAGATGGAGTTAATGTACCCTTTCACAGCTTCTTCCACAGAACCAGTTTTCTGGACATCCTGATGTATCTACACCTTCATTTTCCAGGCACTTAACATGATCTGCACAAGTTTGACAAAGATGAATCCGGAATTACTCTAGACAAATACACACTCAACAGATATATAGCCAGATGGAAATATTATGATAAAACTTCATGGTAGCTTGCTTACATTTAAGTTGACACTGAACACAAGTAAGGGCATGTCCATCGTCGTCTCCCTCTACTTTGCTTTGGCCACAAATTCGGCAACGACACTGTGGGCAATGCCATTCACCATCAGGGATATCCTATACACAAAAACAAAACAGGTTAAAGGAAACAAATCAGATCCAAGATCAACTATTGATATCAAAGTAATGCATAATAAGTAAAAACAAGATGTATAACACTAGTGATTGAGAAGGAAAATAGTTAATCTACCTCCAACCCAAGACACCTCTGGTGAAATGAAGACGGGCATTGATCACATAAAATAAGTTCACCACCAAAGAGGCAAATGGAACAAACGAAGTCATTGTCGGCTAGAAAAAAATTACTTCCTGAATTTTCACCAGCTTCCTTTCTCATGTGTTTTTGCATTATCTCTATTTGGCATTCTAAGAGTGATTTACCATCTTTCAAAAAAACATTAGCCGCGGGTATGCAGGTATTACCCCCACTAACATGACTTTCAAAGCCAACTATGCCGTGTATCAAGTGACAACAGCTACACTTGATTCCATTGCGAGATATTCTCCCCATAGCCATGGTAGAGGCTGCATAGTACCCTTCTTGTTCGTTGTAATAGTAAATGTTACTCCTTGGAAGGACCATCTTGTTGTCAATTAACCAAGACAAAATAGTAAGAGGTTTATTCTGGGGTATCAGAGGAGGGGAGGACACCTTTGTCACCCACTTATTTGATCCGGCTTCTTGTGAAGATAATCTATTGCTTTGGCTCTTAGATCTGATTGTCTTTGAAGCCCTTGAGTTTCTCCTCTCTTGATTTTGAGTTGATCTACTTCTTTCAGAACATCTGGCACCAGAGACTCCTTCAGCCGCACCGTCCAGATTTATTTGTCTTTCAAACTCATCTGGAGGAACAGGTTCTTCCTGAACCAAAACTTTCTTAACAGGCAATGCCATAATTGGTTCAACTGGTTCTTGATCTGGTCTTTCATCTTGTAAACTCTCTGGAAGTTTTAAGTCTGAGAAAGCTTGTCTTACCGAAAGAGTTTTGTAGTCATTAACTATATCACTCACCACATTTCTATACAAGTCCTTCACATTATATATCCACTCTCCCTTCGTGCCATAATTCAACTTTTCCTGTACATCAAACCAAATTTGTCTTGCTGATGCTGCGAATGTTGAATTATGACACTCGTCAAGCAAATCAAGAAAAACCCAGTTTTCTCGTTGCTTCCACTCGTGTGTAAGTTCGTTCCAGTCCTGAGTAATCCGCAGTTGACGAATATCAAATTTCATTTCAGCACCCAAATCAGGGAAAAACACGATCCTCTTATCCATTTCATCAGAGTGATCAAATATGACTCCTTCCCACCAAGCTTCTTGAAAGTTCACATCCACACACAAACCATATTTAAGTTCCAGTCTCTGAAACTCAACCAAAGGTGGCACTGGCCTGATGTGCATGTTACAGTTTGAAGATTCAGAAGCTGATGACAACCTCACTACATCCACAGAAGAATCCAACCCTTCATTTTGTCCAACATTATCGTATTTGACATGGCACTTCACTCTACCGCACTCGATGACTGTCCCAGGGTGCCAGGACCCTCGTAACCCCTTCTGTGCTCTCCTCACCTGAAAAAAACATCAAAACCTTTTCAATTTTTATACATGCAAGATGAAAAAACACATCTCATGGATGTCCCAAAGCCAGATCATAAGCAAAAACATGTAATCATTTCGACTAGAAGCAACATCATTCGAGAACCATGCAAGACACATGAAACAGTGAAAACCATACCTCAACAAATGATTAATGCAACTAAAACATTCAAAAACAGTATCAACTATCAAATCTATCCATTAACAACTACTTAAAACACACATGCAGAAACATAAAAAGCTTATCAAATCAACATTATTGACAGTGGGTAACCCAAATTTTTTTTTTTAAAAGATAAAAAAAATTCTTAAGAAAAGACTAAATCTGAGTTAGCATTACCTCAACCGCTTCGTTCACTTGAAATGTTTCCGGAGAAGTTCGTTTAAGTTTGCTGCTCGGAGGATCGTCGGGCTCCTCCATGGAAGATGAGGAGAAGCCACAACCGTTTTCCTATTTTTTTTCTTTTCCTATTCTTTCTTTTCTTTTCGATGTTTCCAAGGTTTAGAACTTAGAATTTTACCTCTTTGACATTTGACTGCAAAATGCCAAAAACAAAAAAACACTGATGGACTGATGGAGAGAAGTTCAATGGACCGTATATATAGAGGGACTCACTCTCTAGTACCTTCTAACGAAACAATACAACTTTTTTTTAATTTTTTTTTTAATTTAGAGTAAATAAATATAATTTCTTTATTATAACTTATTATATATTTATTGTAAAAAAAAACTTATATAAATTGTTCTTACATGAAATCATTTTTGTGCAAAATTTGTTCATGATCGTACATTATTTTATTTTTGTATGTTACATTATTTCTTGTTCTTTTTTCTCTTGTTCTATACAATATTTATTGATGAACCTATGTTAAATTAATTTTATTATCTTTTTCTACTTAATTTTTAATTCAAAATGAATTTTCACTTTTAATTTAAAAAATAATCTTTATTTTTTAATTAACCTTAAATAATATAATATTTTAAATTAACTACAAATAACATGATAAATATTAATAATCACTTGTAACCGTACAAAAATTAGTTTTTCAACTACATAAAAGCTATTTTCAAACCTGTCTGATTTATAATTTTTTATTTTTATTTTTTCAAAAGATGTACATGAGAAATCAGTACTCTCAGTCAATTTCAAGACAAAAAGATCTCATTACTGTTTTATAATTTATATTTAAATTGTATCTATAAAAAAAAAGTAAATAGTTTATCTAAAAAATGTATTCATGTTGTAATTTTATGATAAGTTTTTGTCATGTAAAACTTTATCTAAATGTATTCATAGCTTTTGTAATGATTAAATTAAATTTAAAGATTTTACAAAATTGGAATTTGAAATTTTGTATTTGAATAAAATTATTTGGTAATTTAGCTGTACCTACGCCGTAGGCCTCACTGTTCAATGTAACATAGAAATCCTATATTCAGAGAAACATCATCCATCAATAAATGACACATACAAAAAGCATATATGTGTCTCTTAAGTATCCAACCCTTTCACGCTTCAATCTTTCCCTAGATCATTTTTTTTTTTTAACCCGGTTGAATATTTTCCTATATCATTATTTTATTTTATTTTTATAATCTTCTGTATTTTAAATATGCATGCGTTTGGTTTTTTTTTTTTTATCTTTTACTTCACGTATTCTTTTCTATATAATTTTTTTTATCTTCTACGTTCTAAATATAGACGCATATGTAATTTTTCCTATATATATATATATATTTTTTTTTTTACCGTATTTTTTATATCAAATTTTTTTTTATCTTTTACATTCCAAATATGCATGTGTGTATTTTTTTTTTATCTTTTACATTACAAATATCTTGTATTTTTTTTTTTTCTTACGTCCAATTCTGTAATTTTATTTCATTTAGATTTTTAATATTTTATTTGATCACCTAACACTTTAACAGTAAATCTATAAAAATATCTAAAAAAATTAAAAATAACTACTTTCAACTTTAATGGTATGATAAGAAAAATAAACACATTTTTCCTGTTTAGTGTAAGTGAACATAACTGAATGCAAAACCTTAATCTTTGAAAAAAAAACTTAAACAATTACGTTTATGCATTAAAAGCAAGTAACTTTTTTATGTATTTTTATTTCTTGAAAATATATAATTTCAATTAGTATACGTTTTAAAAAATGAAAGTTGAATATTAGGGTTTAAGGGAATAAAATGAGGTGATTACATGTTATTTGTATGCAATTCACATAACACATATGATATAAACATCTTTTGGGAAGGTAACCGCGATATTTATAATTGTTAAAATTGAATATTGAAATTTTAAATTTTTAATATTTTAATGAAATGATTTCAATTTAATGGCATGCATCTATCTTCCATCAATTCAACCTAGAAATTATAAATTCTTCCAATAAATGAGACTTAAAAAGAAAACAGCTATGTGTCCCTTAACCACCTCACTCTTTGCATGCATTTCTTTTTCATCTATTCATTATATTTATTTTTTTATTTATATTCAAAAATTATTTAATTTTTTTAATTATTTTACTTTCTATCTTCAATTTGCTGAGTTTTATCTCATTTAGATTTTCAATATTTTATTTTATCTCTAGCACTAAATCTATAAAATATCTATAAATTTTAAAGTATTTCAAACAAAAAATTTATTTTAAATGATTCTTAGTAATTATTATAAATTTAGACAAGTGAACACAGAACATTAAAAAGAAATTATGCATTAAAAAAAATTATTTTACTTACGAAAGAATTTTTTTTCTCCCATAATTAGTTTACTTCAACAAATTATTTCAACTTTAATAATACAGTTGGACACTCTTTCCAATAAAACATTGAAACTATCAAAATACCGTTCATAACTTACAAATCACGTGTCCCTGTTTGATCTATTTACTATATTATTTGTTTAATTATATAGAAAATCATATAAAATTGTAATTTTTTTTATCTTCTATATTCAATTCGGTGCGTTTTATTCATTTATAATTTTATTTGATTCATTTTATGTATTTTTTTTACTATTCTTTATTTTATTTTTTACATATAAAATAATCTTTCATTTTTCGTTTTATGTATTAATTAAACATAATATTGGAGAAAATGAAATAATTTTTTTCTTAAATATAACCATCTTAATATTATTTTTTTTACTTTTGAGAAGTAAAAAAAATATATTTTTTATTATAAATATACCTCTTTGAGTTATTTGAAACTAAATAAAATTGTTTATATAAATATTTTTTACAATTTTTTGATAAAAAATATAAAAAAATATTAATAAAAACACACATACAAAATAATAAAAAAAAACACATTTTCATTATTTTTATTTTTCTCAAGATATAAAAAATAACAACAAATTTACCAATCAATTTTTTTGAATTAAAAAGGTGAAAACCATTTTCAAATATACACTGAACAAACAACCCATAAATAACAATATTTTGCAAAAGAAAATACATTTTACCTTAAACTTTTATATCCTGACATGTTTAAGTTGATTTTAATTTGGAAAAATATATTTTGATAACCATTTGAAAGAAATAATTAATAGAAACTCTCACGTAATAAATAAATAAACAAAGGAAATAAAAAAAATGTAAGTATTATTATTATTATATTTATAAAAGTATTTTATGTAATGGATATTTGTTCAAGTGGAGTTATTTATATATCATCACTCTTTTCATTGTAACTTAATTAACAACTAATAATTAGAATTTATTACTTAAAGAATATTTGAATTTCAATTTGGTCAGTTAAATTTATTTTGTTAGAAAAGATTAAACATAATTCAAGTTATTGACAAATTAATGTAAAAAAATTTTTTTTTTCTCCTCCTTTTCTTAATTTTGTTATAATAGTTACTATTTAAAAAAAATTATTTCTGGTATAATTTTATTCATTAAAAATGTCGTATTCAAATACTTATATTTATTTTTTTAAAATAAAGATTATTTTTTTTCAATTTAATAAATCTATAAACATTACATAATTTTAATATAAAATATAACTTTGCAAACAATAAAACAATAATTAATATATATCTTAAAATTAGTTGCAAATAGTGAAACCTAAAATTTAAGTAGTTTAATGTTTAGATATTTGATTATAAAAAAAAATAACTACCTATTGAAGTTTAATATTATCATAAATTATATAAATAAGAAAAATAAAATACATATTTACATATCCAATACACAAATAAATATAAATAGTTTTTTTTTAAATTAAAAAAAGTAGGTTTATGTATTAAAAATATAAAATAATTTATTTTAATTTAAAAAAATTATAAACATTGCATAATTTGTTTATATAAAATACATAGTTTAAAAAACACAATTATATATATATATATATATATATATATATATTAAAATTAGTTGCGAATAGTGAAATCTACAACTTTTACGTTATCTAAATTTTAGATATTTGATTGTAAAAAAAATGATACCAATTGAAGTTTAATATTATTATAAAATAAAATAAAATACATGTTTTCGTACTCAAAACTACAACACACGAAAATATAAATAGTTAAAAAAAACTTACAAAATTATATTTATGTATTTTAAACAAATCACTTTTTTTTTATGAAACAATATTTTATTTGTCTTTGTAATAATTAAACGTAGTATTGAAAACATGAAAAAACTCTCTTGTATTAAATACTATACATTTCATCTTAAAAAATATAAAATTAGTATATCACATTATATTTAAAAATTAATAATTATTTCTAAATTATTATTATAATTTTTTTAAAATCTATCATAAAAAATGTTATGTATTCGTAAAACAGTAAAACACTGAATACGATCAAATAAATTTTCTGAATCTATAATATTTTTAAAATGAAAATTAACATAGTTTAATTTAAGAAATTTTATAAAAGTTAAACAATTTGTATATAAAATATATAGTTTTGCAAACAATAAATAATAAATAGTAAATAATAAAAAAAAATTGCATGTTAAACAAGACAAGTGAATACAGAACATTAAAAAATAATTATGTATTAGAAAAAAATTATTTTACATATGAAAGAATTTTTTTTTCTCCCATAATTAGTTTAAGTTTTTTATGGTGTAAAAAACTAAATTAATTAAAAAAATTATTCATGTTAAATTTTATGGTAACTTTTTTCTATAGTTGTTGTATATATAATTTTATCTAGGCTTTTTAATAATTAGATTAAATTAAAGCTGAAACTTGATTTTTAAATTTTTAATATTTTAATAAATTATTTCAACTTTAATAATACAATACAATTCAACACTTCTTTCAATTAATCATAGAAACTATCAAAAGACTATTCTTCTTCAATAAATAAGACTTATAAAAGTAGTCACTTGTCCCTTTTAGTACATGTTTTGATTTATTCACTATATTATTTATTTAATTGTATAAAA